TTATAGAAGTTGATATATTCGAGGAAAAACTTAATATCTCTAATGTTTCTAAGAACTAGCTAATTCCTAATAGCTTCTATTTTGTCTTTTTGTAGCTTAATGCATCCTAGCTCGATTGTGAATCCAAGATAGTTGATCTTTTGTATATGAAAGTAACTCTTTGCAGGTTTTACAAGGAGTTTTGCATCTTGAAGCATTTGCAATATTGTTTCCACATATTTCTTGTATTCTTCAAGTATTTGAAAGTAGATAAGAATATTATTGAGATAGGCAATGATGAACTGATTTAGATGCTTATATAGAATATAATTGATTATTTCCTGAAATAAAGCTGGAATGTTTGTTAAATCAAAGAGCATAACTAAATATTCGTAGTATTCATAGTATATTCTGAAAGCAGTTTTCTATTCTTCTTCTTCCTTTACTCTAATTAGATTGTAAGCTTCTTTTAGGTTTAGAACTATAAACTATTGTACTCCTTGCAGCCTATCTCATAATTCCTTGATAAGTAGTAATAGATATTAGTTTTTGATTATAATATTGTTGAATTGCTTGTAGTTAATATATAATCTAAGCTTGCTATTCTTTTTGAATATAAATAGAATGGGATATTCTGCTGATAATTGCAATGATTATATGTATTCTTTCTTAAGATTCTTATCGAGATACTTCCTAAGTGCCTCTAGCTATGCCTTGTTTAATCTATAAATAGGAAAGAATTTGAGCTGTTTCCCTTCTTGTAACAGAATCTTGTGATTATATAAGCTGTATTTTAGCAATTTTGTATTTAATTCTTTCTGGAATAGTTTCTTAAACTTATAATATTCTTGTAGTATATTCGCAAGTATTAGTTCTGATCTCTGTGCTGTTTCTGCTATCTGAAGGAATAGTAGATACTGCTGAGCATGCTTCTTTTCGTTCGTTATTTTTAGTAACGTTTTTGAGAGCTTTGAGCGTTTGCTCCGAGCTGAACTGAGCGCTCGAGAGCTTGGTTTCGAGATTTTTCCTATATGGGTTCATAATTCACATTCTAAAGCTTTTTCTTATTACTTCGAAGCGAACTGACTTGCTGAGAATCTTGCTTCCATTATTTTGCTAATCTATTAGCACTTTAGCACTATTTGAGTTTGTTTGTTACTAGATTCTTCTTCTTGAACTGCTAGCTCTGCTAGTTTAGAGATATATAAGAAGTTGTATAAAGCTTCTTTTTCTGAGTATTCTTTAATTACTAGCTTCGATCCTGCATTGTTAATTGTAACTATCTCTCTGAGTATAGCTTGTTTCCATGAGATCTAGCTAGTAGTTCAATCAATTCGAGAATTGTGCTTCTTAAGCTATAAAAGCTCTATAATCAGCTTATGCTGTGCTATATTCGTAATATTAAAAGAAATCTGGATTGCATGTTTCTGAATTAAGACAGATAGATGATTAGTCTTCTTATTGATTACTCCTTGATTGTATACAATAGATTATTCTTTTATAGTGCTGAGAGTATATAAGCATCTTTTTCATTTCTATTGTAGTTATGCTTAATTAATGATATATAGAAATATGAAGTTTCTCTGAGCATCATTGTTTAATAGTATGCTGTACTTGTATTCTTGAATGTATATGTTGAACTTGATATAAGTATAATCTGTTCTGAAAGCTTTATATAAGAATCATTCTGATTTAATTATCTGTAGTTTCTTTACAAGCAATTCTATTCTTTTGAGTATATTGAGAACTGCTTGTTCTTCTAAGCTTGCTTTACTGCTTCTCAAGCAAGCTTTTTAGCTTGCTTTTGCTCGTATTATTATTATTTCTAGTCTTTCTTCTATTAATGCTAGTTGCAAATCTTATTATTAATATGAATCGTATAAAGTATTGTTTTGCACTGCTACTATTTTATTTCCTTATTTATGCATTGCATAGAGCAGTTATCTGGTAGTCTGATGTATATATTGTAGTGCTATCTGTTGAGAATCTTTCTGAAGCGGAGTTCCTATTCTTTAATAGCTTGAAGAATTTATTCTAATTCTCTAATGGAGAATTATTCATATTGCATCTTGTTTAAGAAATGCATTCTGTAGCTATGATAGATGCAGGAGATTCATGCTAATTTGTAATATAGATTGTAAAGTAAGCTAATTCAAGAATTCTCTTCTTCTTGTACTTCGATATTCTGTAAGGGGATGCAGATGAAGAGCTTTTCTAGTTCTATTTTATAAACAAGATATTCAATTCATATTATTTCTTTATTCTATCTAATACTAAAGAGAAATCTTTCTGTAGGTTTCTTGGGTTTATTGTTTATAGGAAATTCTAGTGAACTATTGAACTGCTTGTTCTAGCTTAATCTTTCTATTGCTTGAAAAGCATTTTCTGTATTATTTAAGTATTTATATCAATAACCAAAAAAGTATCATTCCTTGTTCATATCCCTGGTTATAGTGCTTGATATAGATAATGAGGAATGATGAAGGGCATTATTGTTAAGCTCTTCCTTCAGCATCTGAATGCTTTGTTCAGCAATATTAAAGCAGTTCGAGTTATTGCTGCTTGTAGTTATGCTAAGCATATACTCTCGCTCTGCTATTGCTATCTGCCTATAGCGCCTAGATTTCTAAGAGAACTATTCTGAATCTTTCTTACTCGAGAGATATATTAAGCAGTTATTATTATAGCAGAATATTCAGCTAAAACTTCTATAATTAATAGAATTCGATACTTGCTTCAAGAGAGTATTTTTGCTTAGTTGATTGGATTTCTATTGTTAAGCAATATTTATTTAGCATTCTTTCTGAACTAGTTGCTATTTATTCTTTTAGAGTTAATAGTAGTTGTATGTAATATATTCTTATTTATTGCAATTGTAGCAAGTAATACTATTCTTCTTGCTATACTGCTTATTAGCTATATTAAGTTTCATAGAATTAGCATGCATAATGCTGCTCTGAGCTATATTGCTATATTGATTGCTATTCTTGTTTTAGAGTTTCTTGCTTATATTAGCTGGAAATTTCCAAATTTAGCTTTCTTTCTTCTTAGATTTCTTCATTTGTTATTCATATAGATAGTTATTAATGCAGATAGCTTGATTAGAGAATATTGCAAAGTTCTTTAGCTAATTCTGTTTGAAGATTTTATCTTTAATATTATTCTTAAATCTCTTATAGTAGTATTCTATAAGATTCTTATCTTCTTACAGAAATCTTGCTAAAAGCTGCTTGAATCTAATTATATAAGTAGAAGCTAACTTAGTCTGCTTGAGATTCATAAGCTGCTAAGCTGTAATACATTCTTTATTAGAATTACTAAAGATTTCTTTGAGAGCTTTTTCAAAGCTTTCAAAGAAATTGAATATATTCTTAGTATTCTGAATACATATATTGGAATTATTCTAATACTCTAAGTAGTTGTATAGAGAAAGCTTGTATTAGATAAGAGCATTTTTTTCGAAATAAGTTCTTGCAAGAATAATCTTTTCAGATTTCATAATGAACTGAGTTGCATAATGCAAGAAATATGCTTTACAGTAAATAAGAAATCTATACAGCATTTTCTGATTGCTATTATATATAGCAAGCTTATTCATCTTATATGCTTTTCTAGCATTATTAATAGCTGTAAAGATAAACTGCGCTTGCTAAGCTTATTAAATTAGCTGAGCTTATTAGTTAGCAATGATAGCGCTCTAAGCCTGCTGTTGTTCGCATAGATCCTGAATATGCTGAATAAGCTAATATATCTAATTAACTAGTTCTTCCTGAGTAGAAGCATACGAGAATGAAGAGATTTCTGAAGAAGCTATTATATTCCGTATTGCTTAAGAGGATAATACTAAACTGTTCTTGAATAAGAATTATCAAAATGTAATGAGCACTACAGCAATCTGAAGATTTCTAAGTATACAAAGAAGATTTATGCTAATAAGAGCAGTATCAAAGTATCAAGTTCTTGAATACAGAATTATATAAATCCTAATAAGCAATACAAATATTTACTGCTTTTGAAGCTATTTAGTATATGAAACTAAATACTTAGATTAATAACTGAAGAGCTATATACGAGATTTATTTAATAGGAATGAATGTATTTGTAATGAGCACTGCAGCAATCCGAAGATTCCTAAGTATACAAAGGGGTTTATGCTAGCAAGAGCAGTATCAAAGTATCAAGTTCTTGAATACGGAACCATACAAGTCCTAATAAGCGATGCAAGTATTCACTGCTTTTGAAGCTACTCAGTATATGAAACTAAATACTTAGATTAATAACTAAAGAACTTATCTAAAGGAAATCTATCTAATAATAAGAAATGTAAACCTTCATATACTTAGTTCTTCAGTTCGGATATATAGGATCAATATTAACTCCATCGATTTCTCCATCAACAGGATAAACGTTGACTGTATCTATCCGCTAATAACTCTAATCCTGAATTATATAATCGATGCTTTATTAGAACATTGAATTCTTGATATCTGATCTCTGTTACTCGTAATCTGTTCTATAATCTGCATGTTGGATGAGTTATAACATTATTTTCCTTCTATCAATCATTATTCTCAACGATCTTTCGTAAGTATTCTGGCAAATCTTCCGTCCGTAATCTTGCCTTTCTAATCAAGATATTAAACAGAGTTAATTCTTGTTATATTGCTAAGCTTTATTCTCATTCTTTGCAGAAATCATTCCTTCTTTCTGCTATAGCTACTTTCAGTTCTCCTTTGCTCATGCTTTGCTCATACTACAAAGATTACAATCTTTCAGCTGAGTGCAAGATTGCTAAATCCGAATCTTCCTGTTATTAAATCTGCATATATCTGAGTTTGTTGAATTGCAATGTTCGTAGCCTGATGCCTGCACAATTGAATTGTGTGACTGCTTAATATCGTTGCTTGGAGGCGGAGATGGAGGCGATTGAAGAGGAGGCTGTTGAGCTGAATGCTAAACTCCTTAGGCTGCATAAGCAGAAAAGGATGTAGTACGAAAAGATGATGTGCATTGTTTGTTAGGGTATTAACAATGTGGAGGAGTTGGAAAGGATAGAGGCGGAGGAGCAGGCTTGCATTGCTGCTGGAGTTCGTTCTGTAGTTGCAGAGAAATCTGCTGTGATTGCTGAAGATCCTTCTTTTGAGGGTTTTAACTGGAATTCTGTGGATATAGGGAATGCAGTGGTAAATTGGTCGGGTTTTCTGAAGAGTGAGATTCCCAAAGCTTCTGGGTTTCGGTTTGGGGCGGAGCAATCGTCTTAGATACTAGTTTCCTTTCTTTTCCAATACTTAGCTACTTTCTCCTGAGTGTTCTTAACATTCTTCTGTGGTTTCTATGAATTTTCGCTTGCTGAGTAACCTTTCTACTTGATGAGATATTTCCTTGTATTATCTGTGCTTCTATGCTTGAGGATCTTCTCTACCTTATACTCTGATTCATTGTTTTCCACTTCTGCTATTTTATCTATTAGTATTTCCTGTACTGCTGGTTCCAGCAGTGAAATATGAAAAACTAAGTATATTCTCATCTCATAAGATAATGCTAACTTGTAATTAACTAGGAAGATTTGTTGCAAGATTTTGAATAGTCCTAACTTCTTATAGTTAAGTTTGTTGCTAGATCTGATTATTTTGATATTTTTCCAAAGTAGATAAACCTTATCTCCTTTCTATAAGATTGATTCCTCAATCCTTTTAGAGTTTGCATACTGTATTATTCGTTCTTAAACGAATTATAATTCTGATTGAAGTTCCTTCTGAACTTTCTTAATCTTCTTAATCCTTTTATCTGCAGCTTCTGCATCTGCTCCTAGCAATACTTTGTAGTAAGCTGTTGAATTATATCTATAGAATATAAAGAATAATAACTTCTTTATTATATTTATATCTGTATTATTATAAGCGAACTATATAAAAAGCAATAAATCAATTCAGTTATTCTGTTTCTAATTGATATAGTATTATAAATACTGTTCAATAACTTGATTCATTCTTTTTATTTATTTATCTATTTGTAAGTGAAATGCTATGAATATTCTATAGTATATTCCGAGCTATTTTATAAGCAAAGTTCAAAACTTCGAGTTGAACTTTCTATCTCTATTAGAAATCACTTCTTCTAATATGCTATAATTAGCAATAATCATTCTGAGAAATGTATATACAAGTTTCTCTGCTGTACTGCTTTCCTTATAGAGAAGAAAATAAGCATACTTGCTCAGTCTGCAAACCACTACTAGAATGCTATCATATTATACTTTAGTTAAGAGTTCTCGTAAGAAAAGTAGCTTAATAATGAAGTTTAAACTAATGAATTACTAAACAGTTGTAAGTACTGATAAGAGATGCAGTAATCCATAAAGCTTATATCTTTCTACCTTATTTTTCTTACAGCTATTGCATTGTTATAAGATATTTTCAATTCTTTTCCTAAGATTTAATGAATTCTAATATCTTTTAATACATTCATAGATTACTCTAATTCTCTAATATCCGTATGCTGATGCACTATATACATTCTTGATGTAGTTATCTTATTTATTCAGAGTTATTAATTCTAAATCCCTTTCTGAAAGTTCGATTCTGAAAGCAGCATTCAGTTCTCTATGCACATTAACAAGATTTCCTGATTTATCTTGAGCGAAGATATTCTGTATATCCGAAGAATCTGCATTTCAATAGTTTGATTTTCTGCTGAAAGTATCTGCTTATCCATTTTCTGAGCTTTTGCAATATATAATCTTGAAGTTAAACTATAAGAAGAATTCTGCTCATCTAACTTATTGCTTATTCAAAACCTTGATTATTATAAATGTAATTAGATTCTTATAATCTAAGTGAACTATAATCGAGTATTGTATACTAATAAGATAGTATTGCTACTTCTTAAAAGCTTTCATTATTGCTATGAGTTTCTGATTAGGGATTCTGTAGTTGATTTCCGAGCTATTCAACTTCTTTGAGAAGTTGCTTATAATCCTTAAATGTTCTTGGTTGTCTCGCTAGCCAAGTTGTTCTCCGAGTGCATATTCTGATACATTAGTCTCAATTTCAAAGAGTTTATAGGAGTCTGCTTTATACAGAACTAGCTCTGAAGTAATATGCTTGATAATCTTATCAAAAGCTTCTTATGCTTTAGAGATTCATTTGAAGAATTAATCCCTTTTAGTAAGATTTGTAAGAGGATATGCAATTCGGCTATAGTTCTTGATGAACTGCTTATAGAAGTTGATATATTTAAGGAAAAACCTGATATCTCTAATGTTCCTGAGAATTGGCCAGTTCCTGATAGCTTCTACCTTATCTTTTTATAGCTTGATGTATTCTAGCTTGATCATGAACCCGAAATAATCAACTTTTTGTATGTAAAAGTAGCTTTTTGCAGGTTCTACAAGAAGTTTTGCATCTTAGAGCGTTTGCAATACTGTTTTCACATGTTTTTTATATTCTTTCAATATTCAAGAGTAAATAAGAATATTATTAAGGTAGGTAATAACGAACTGATCCAGATGCTTATATAGAATATGATTGATCATTTTCTGAAACAAAGCTAGAATATTCGTTAAACCAAAGAGCATAATCAAATATTCGTAGTATTTATAGCATATTCTGAAAGCAGTTTTCCATTCTTCTTCTTCCTTTACTCTAATTAGATTATAAGCTTCTTTCAGATTTAGAACTATAAACTACTATACTTCTTGCAATCTATCTTATAATTCCTTAATAAGTAGCAATGAATATCAGTTCTTAATTGTAATATCATTGAATTGCTTATAATCAATATATAGCTTAAGCTTGCTATTTTTCTTGAGTACAAACAGAATAGGATATTCTGCTAGTAATTGCAATAATTATATATATCCTTTCCTAAGATTCTTATCAAGATACTCCCTAAGTGCCTCTAGTTATGCTTTATCTAGTTTATAAATAGGGAAGAATTTGAGCTATTTCCCTTCTTGTAGCAGAATCTTGTAATTATATAAGCTGTATTCCAGCAATCCTGTATCCAATTCTTCCTGAAATAGTTTCTTAAACTTATAGTATTTCTATAATATATTCGCAAGTATTGATTCTGATTCTTATGCTGTTTCTGCTATCTGAAAGAACAGTAGATACTGCTGAGCATGCTTCTTTTCGTTCGTTGTTTTTAGTAACGTTTTTGAGAGCCTTAAGCGTTTGCTCCAGGCTGAACCGAGCGCTCAAGAGCTTAGTTTCGAGATTTTTCCTATATAGTTCTACAATCCACATTCTGAAGCTTTTTCTTATTGCTCCGAAGCAAACCGATTTGCTAAGAATCTCGCTTCCATTATTTTGCTAATCTATTAACGCTCTAGCACTATTTAGATTCGCTTATTACTAGATTCTTCTCCTTAAACTGCTAGCTCTGCTAGTTTGAAAGTATATATAAAGTTATATAAAGCTTCTTTTCCTGAGTATTCTTCAATCACTAGCTTCGATTCTGTGCTGTTGATTGTGATTATCTCTCTGGGTATAGCTTGTTCTCATGAGATCTGGCTAGTAATTCAATCGATTCGAGAATTATGCTTCTTAAGCTATGGAAGCTCTATAATCAGCTTATGCTATGCTGTATCTGTGATATCAAAGGAAGTTCTGATTATACATTCTTGGATTAAGATAGATAAATAATTAGTCTTCTTATTGATTACTTCTTAGTTATATGCAACAGATTGTTCTTTTATAGTGCTAAGAGTATATAAGCATCTCTTTCATCTTTATTATAGCTGTATCTGATTAATAATATATAAGAATATGAAGTTTCTCTAAGCATTACTATTCAATAGTGCGCTATATTAGTATTCTTGAATGTATATATTGAACTTAATATAAGCATAGTCTGTTCTAAAAGCTTTATATAGAAACTATTTTAGTTTAATCATCTGCAATCCCTTTATAAGCAATCCTGTTCTTTTGGATTCATTAAGAACTATTTATTCTTCTAAGCTTGCTTTGCTGCTTCTTGAGCAAGCTTCTTAGCTTGCTTTTGCTTGTATCATCGTTATTCCTAGTCTTTCCTTTGTTAATGCTAATCGCAAATCTTATTATTAATATAAATCATGCAGAATACTATTTTGTACTGCTACCATTTTATCTTCTTATTTATACATTATATAGAATAGTTATCTAATAATCCAATGTATATATTATAATGCTATCTGTTGAAAACTTCTCTGAAGCGGAATTCCTTTTCTTCAACAGCTTGAAGGATTTGTTCTAGTTCTCTGATGGAAAACTATTCATATTGCATCTTCTCCGAGAAATGCATTCTGCAGCTATAATAAGTGCAGGAGATCCATGCTAATTCATAATGTAGATTGTAAAATAAGCTGATCCGAGAGTCTTCATCTTCTCATGCTTTAATATTCTGCAAGAGAATGCAGATGAAGAGCTCTTCCAGTTCTATTCTGTAGATAAGATATTCGATCTATGTTGTTTCCTTATTCCATCCAATGCTGAAAGGAAACCTTTCTTTAAGCTTGTTGAGCATATTGTTCGTAGAAAGCTTCTGCAGGCTGCTAGATTGTTTGCTTTAGCTTAATTCTTCTGTTGCTTGAGAAGCATTCTCTGTATTGCTTAGATATTTATGCTAGTAGCTAAGAAAGTATTACCTCTTGTTCATATCCCTGGTCATAATGCTTGGTATAAACAATGAAGAATGTTGAAGAGTATTATTACTAAGCTCTTCTTTCAATGTCTGAATGCTCTATTCCACAATATCAGAGCAGTTCGAATTGCTACTCGTAGGAGTGCTAAGCATGCACCCTCGTCCCGCTATTGCTATTTGTCTGCAGCGCTAAAGCTTCTGAGAGAATCATTCTGAACCTTTCTTACTCGAGAGGTATATTAAGCAGTTATCATCATAGCAGAATATCCAGCTGAGACTTCTGTAATCAATAGAGTCTGATACTTGCTCCAAGAGAGTATTTTTGCTCAGTTGATTGGGTTTCTGTTATCAAGCAATATTCATTTAGCATTCTTCTTGAATTGATTGCTATTTGTTCTTTCGGAATTAATAGCAGTTGCATGCAATGTATTCTTGTTTATTGCAGTTATAGCAAGTAATGCTATTCCTCTTATTATACTGCCTGTTAGCAATATTGAGTTCTATAAAACTAGCATATATAGTACTGCTCTGAACTATACTACTATATCGATTACTATTTTTGTTTTAAAGTTTCTTGCTTGTATTAGCTGAAAACTTCCAAATCTAGCTTTCTTTCTTCTTAAACTTCTTCATTTGTTAT